TAGTGCTTAATATAAAGTACCGTTACACATCAGGCCGTGAAAGTCGCTCAATACAATTTAGTTTAATTCTATTCTGTGGTGCTTAGTCAACTTTGAGTGCGTATTATTTCGATTGTGCTTGCAATAATTAATTAGTGTAAAATGGAAAATATAGATACAAGTGAGCATATTTATAATAAATCAAAACATTTTTATGTTTGCGACACTATACTTGAAAATAACCCTTTAACATATGAAGACTTTAAAGAGTTAAAGTAATTTGATAGATTGACTTTCAGTAAGCTATTAAAAAAATGTCCCAATTAAGTGATAAGTAATGAGTTTGCGTTTTGCATGCAATGTCTCTTTTTCTAGGCAACCTCCGTATAAAAAATCGATTTTTTTGAAATATGGCGAAAAGAAGGTAACAAAAAAAAAAAGCTGCTGCTGTTTCAAACATATAGTAAACAAAATTGATGTCGACAACATTTCAGATGAAAGAGAGAAATTTTTAAAGCAAATAGTACATTTATTTTGCTTAAAATTAGCACAAAACTGGTAAAAATTTCACAGAAACATGAATGTTTTCAAAGACAAAAATCATGAATGGCTAAATTCGGATTTAAATGTTTTTGCTTAAGATTTGTCCAAAAAAAGTGGCACCTAATAAAAGCTTGGAATTTGGTAAAAAAGAAGAAGCTTCTGACCTTTCAACTGAGAAACGTGACACCCCAAGATCCCCAATAGCTTATTCCACTGTGAAGCTGTAGCTTTCCTTCTAGAATATAACTTTTCAAAAGGGCGATATAATGCAAACAAGTGGTTTAAGTTGAAATAGGATAGAAGATATATATGAGAGCTATATCTAAATCAGATACGATTTGAATCTTTCTGATTTTCGTTATGATCGGGTGTATATTGTGATTTTGACGTGGTTTAAACGTAAAGTCGTATATATGGATGTTATAACTAAATCTGGCCCGATCTGAACCAAATGTTTCTGAGTTATTTTTAGCCTATAAAACAAGCAAACTCAATTTTACGATAGAACATACATATTGGAGCTATATTTAAACCTGAACCGCTTTGAACCAAATTCGACACACTTACTTTCAGACAAAAAAAAAAAAACATCGTACAAACCAAATTTCATCGCCATCCGTTGTATATTACCGATTTGGTGCATCTTAAACCTGAAATCGGATGAGATATATCCAATTCTGAACCGATTTCTTCCAAATCCAACAATAACAATTCTAGTAACAAAAAAATCCGTTGGTCCAAATTTCATGACGAAAACTATTATTTTGTTGCCGCTATTAATTTTGCACAGAAAAAGTGGTAATTTGACCTATAGTGGATTGAGCAAAATTTTGCATAGCGAATGCAATTGAGAAAAAATTATGTGTGATACGGTTTGTTGAAATCAGATTAGATTTTGACATAGGTCTTATATGGGCAATATTGCCAATTTTTTAACATAGCTGAAGCGGAGGTTCACCCCTTTATAACTCGGGAACTACTTAAGTAAATGAAAAACAGTGAATAGTTTTGGGTTAATTGGTCTGTCGTTGCAAGCTGTTCATGATATTGACCTCCAAACTTAATTTTGTTGAATGCTGTGTCTACTTTAATGTAAAAAAATGTGTAAAAACAGGTTGAGGCGAACCAGTTTTTTTATGTTCTCTATCGATTTGTGACTAAGCCACTCATTGCACGGTCTTCGTGTCAAAATAAAACTAGAAGCCAACAAAATGGGGACTACGCCCCTTATGTATCATTTTTTAACATTTTAACTGCTGACATTTAAATGATGCTGACATTTTGAAGCTCGATTTTGAGTGTTTTTTTTTTTTAATTTTACTTCTAGCTTCAATACGCAAACAGGAATTTATAAAAATCGATTATAAGATTATTGTAGTCGCGAATCTGCGTAATTTGATATGTCTTTTGTGTATGTAGTATGCACAGCTTCAGAGTAATACTCATCCGAAGATGCGAATTTTGTGCGATCAAATTTCTAAAAAACCTATTTTTCGGGCTAAATTTTTAGATCTGTCAACTGAATGATATGGGTACCCGCGATCAATAAGGTTTTTTTACGTTTCGGATGATATAAAATCTTCTTCGTCAAAATCCATCTACTAGAACGGCGGGAACTGGCCTTCCAAAAACACGAAATTTGGCAAAAAATGTTTTTGAAAATATCGCGGATTTACTTGCGTTTTCTGTGTATCATTTCCGCTTCAATAAATGACCTCATACGGATTTTGATCTTTTTCGAAAAGAGAACTTTAAAAACTTCAGCCGAAAGAGAGATGTACGCAATTTATCTCAAAAATAGATTGTGCTGGCACATCCATGGTTCTTAATGGACCACATTGAAATGGTATAGATCGATGTATTTTTTTAGGGTGCACACCGAAATTGGATGCGCGTTAATGGCATATGGAGTTTTCGGAAATTATTCGCGTTTTACGATTTTTTATGTACTTCAATGTAACGTGCGGCACATCTTAGTCGTCAAATGAAATTTCGCAAAATATATATGGATTGGAAGATAAACTTCAGTACTTCTTGGAAACCGCATGCACATCAAATGATTTTGAGAATTACGCGATTTAGACGCAATTTATCTCAAAAATAGTGTGAGCTGGCACATCCATGGTTCTTAATGGAACACATTGAAATCGGTATTGATCGATGTATTTTTTTAGGGTGCACACCGAAATCAGATGCGCGTTAATGGCATATGGAGTTTTCGGAAATTATTCGCGTTTTACGATTTTTTGGGTACTTCAATGTAACGTGTGGCACATCTTAGCCGTCAAATGAAATTTCGAAAAATATATATGGATTGGAAGATAAACTTCTGTACTTCCTGGAAACCGCATGCGCATCAAATGATTTTGAGAATTACGCGATTATTTTATTTAAAGATTTATTCCTATTTATAGAATTCTAAGATTTATCGGAAGGTGTGTGTATGTCATTAATATATTGAAAATATTGATGTAATCTGCTATATATTTTTTATTTTTCTCATATATCGCGAATATGTGCAACTTTATCGTGATTGTTATAATATATTCATATTCTTATTTTACGGAGGAAGATATATATCAACGCCGTAATTTTAAGATTTTTTTCTTATCCCAAAATTAAAACCTCGATAACTTTTGCGCGCATCAACCAAAAATTTGATCGCGAACGGTTTCGGAGTAAGAACATTTTTCTTTTATGTAAATGGTGCACCGAAAGGCTTATGTGTGTTCGATTTACACGAATTTTGGCAAAGGGTATTATATTGAATATACAGTGATAACAAAAGACAAATGGTGTATGCAACGGTTGCTCAATTAGGTCCATGTGTTTATATATAGCTACTATACATAATTTTACTTGATTTCATTCAAATGGTACACCAAAGAATGGCATGTGTATGTGGGTTTTTATAATTGGACATTTCACGCACACGCATTTCATTTCGCCCGATTCCATCTCCAGGGTCCTCCAATGATTCTATGTCTGTTCTATCTACCGAATATAGTAGATATTAACATCTCTCCCAAGATGGTGAAGGGTATCAAAAAAAATTCAAAAGTCGGACAGAACCGACTAGTCCGACTTTTGAACTTTCCTTATTGTTTTTTTTTTATAAAATGGAAATTGATAATAAACTTACATTGCCATAACTTTCAATTGAAATGGTAAAGAACTTAAATGCTGTCAAATGAGCTGGCCTCTGCGAACGGGCTATGGCCAATACAAGCAAACGTTGATAACGAACATCTGTCGCATACCATTCCTGACCGATTAATGATTCGCTAACTCGGGAGCTCTATAAGGGCGAAGAAAATGTGTATGTTTATAATATATACATATGCATATATGTATATTTATAAAAATTTAACATATTATCAAAGGAGACGAAGTTAAGTGATCGAACTGTGTGTAACATGCCAAACTCTCTTCATTTCCATCACTTTTTCGTCCAGCCAGCTAGAGAAGAAGCTGGTATTGTATTACATACGTTGTCAATTAACCGCTGTCCTAGCATACAAATATAGTAGACTTGAGATGAAGCTGAAACAAAAAATCCAACAAATTTTATCATATTCAAATCCAAGTCGGAACCTTTTGCAATTTGTATCGAAATCATAACGATAATAAATATGGAGATCATGTAGTTCAACAATATGGAAAAGCTGAAAACTCCATTAACCGTCTCGGCAACTCTGAAATAAAAAATAAATGAAATTGTTCAAATTGAAAGATTTTATAGATTACCGTTCCACGGGGGAAATATCGACCAGAATCGTATAGAAGTTGTTGCTTGTTAATAGGTCTAATGGCAACACATAAAAGTGATGTCGTGCCGCCATGCATTTCCGACAAATATACATATATATACCCCCATATGTGTATACTACATACATTTATCCTGAAATTTGTTCGCTATGGCATAAAAGGGTTTTTCAAGGTGTGCGGAGGGTGGGTCGACCAATTTTACTGTCTAAATCTGATATATGTCGAAAATTAGATAAGTGAGTGAGTGACTGGAAGATTATCGCAGAGACGAAAGGGGCGATGATCTTTTGAGTGTGGGTTATTGTTGGTGTATAGGTGTGAGATAAGGCTGAAATTCGAACTAGAAGGGTACGAAATGTACTAAAATATACTAAATATGGTATCACATGTATTAGGCAAACGGGAAGAGCTCGAATTCTGAAATTTGGAATGTGGCTCACTGATGGAAAGTTAGAATGATGTACAAAATTCGAATTCGATAAGTGTACGAAAAGTACTAAACTTTACTAAATTTAGTTCTAATTCTATATACATGGAACATATATAGCTAGAATCTTGAAATTTTATATGGAATACAGGTATTTGCAATCAAGTTGAGTGTACAGAGATGGGATCCTGAAAATAAGAATACGGATTACTATTGGAGTCAGAATTGATGTAGATTAAAAATCGTACGAGAAATGCTAAATAGTACTAAATTTAGGGCAATTTGGATTTTGAGTGAACGGATAGAGCTGAAAACCTTAAATTCAGGACTGTTGAGGATTGAGCTATAGAGATAACTTTGGAAATTTGTATTTGGTTGGGGGAAAACAAATCTTTTTTTTTTTTTAAATACGAACTATAGGGCTTTATTTAACGTGCTTCGGAATGTCCGATTTGGGCCAAATATGTACCGTTTTGTTGTATGATTTTTACCAATACAATGCATGAAAAATTTAATAACCGCTTGGTGACAAGTGAGGACTGTATGGCGGATGCATTAAAACTTTCCAACCAAGCTTCCGAAGTTTCTGGCGAGTTACTGTAGATGTATGTGGCCTAGCGTTGTCCTATCTATCTCATTCCGTTTGGCCAAGGTTTTTTCAGTTAATTGGTATGGCACCCAAACATCGAGCTTATTTTTGAATCCAGGTTTGTGAAAATGGTTTAAAATAGTTTTATGGTCGATTTTTAGCTCCTGGGCGATGTTACGACTGCTAACATGCCGGTCAACTTCGATAATTTCTTTGATTTTATGGAAATTTTCATAATGAGTTTCTCTTTCCCCAACCTAATATTTATGTGTTAAAAAAGTACTAATCGGCGCTAGATTTGGTACAATTTGATTTTGTGTGAACGGATAGAGCTAGACCACCGAATTTTGTAGTATAGGATTGAGGTAGTTTAGGAAATTATTAATTATTCAAACAAAAAGTACTAAATGGTACCAAATATATTACAATATGTTTTGGTGTGAACGAATAGGGCTGAAATCCTGAAATTTGGACTTAAAATTAGTGTTAGAACATAGGATTGAGACATGGCTGTAATTTCGTAATTATGTGTCCTAAATAATACTAAACTTGGTACAATTTAGTTTTGGTGGAACGGATAGGAATGAAAACCTGAAATTTACATTAAGATTACTGCTAGAAACATGTTTGAGGTAGTTTAGGATATTCACATTTATGGGTACGTAAAGTACTAAATGGTACTAAATATAGTACAATGCGGATCTGTGTGTGCGGATAGGGCTGGAATCTTGAAATTTATGATTAAAATTACTTTTGGAGTGTAGAAATGAGGAAGTTTTGGAAACTCGTACTTACGTCTATGAAAAATAACAAATAGTTCTAAATTTTGTACAATTTGGACTTTGGTGAACGGGTAAAACTGAAATCCTGAATGTTGCAACTAAGATTACTGTAAAGAGTAAGCTTAAGTAAGCCGATTTGCGATATTTTGCGGTTTTTGACTAATTTAGATTTTCCGTCGTCAAGAGTTTAAAGAATTCAGCATTTTTTAAAATTATCCACCGTAAAATGTTATGTATATTACATTTGTCATTCCGTTTCAAATAGACTATAATTTAATCTCTCTATGATTCTCTGTGAGTAAAAACTCTTCGTACCAAAAATATTAATATTGAAGTTTTCCTATCCCAAAAAAGTATTTTCGACAGTTTTACAAATTTACATCTCATGTTCTTATCTCCCGTGCTACTTGGATGTTGGCTGGGCTTGATGCGACCAATAAATTTGCTTCTATGCGGTTAACTTATAAACCATTCTATGTGTCATTGGTGAAAATAGGTATAGCATATTCGATAATGCGAAACTCACGAGTCTACGGGGTATGCAACCTTTAGACAAAATTTCATTGGAGACAATTTTTGTGTTTTTTTTCTTTACTTAATATGAAGGTTTTAAATAAAATAGGATCTAGTGTTAATGATTTGCTCAACTTACACATTCAACAAATTATGTCTTTCCAATATTATTTTCAGCTCCTTTATATCGCTGTCATAACCCGTCGATTTAAAATTTTCAATGCGATAACAAAGATAGTCGAATTGTATAATTACCAAATAAGTGGCACACATTAACAGCATATCGGAGCCGACAAAGTGACACGACACGCTAAACCCACCAATAAATTGTGTGACATAGGCGAAGACATAACCAATTCCGCGGGATGCATCGAATGGATATACCATTACGTAGATTGTGCGTGGCACAAACCCAGCATTCTCGTCGTCGCGTCTCAAATATTCAATAGACGACTGGACCACCGGAAAGGCAATAAACATCGCAGCAGCGCCAAAGTGCTGAAAGCTCATGAACTTTGCGTGTCGCATAATATAGGCGTAGTTCTGGGCTAACCGAAACTCCTGACGTTCCTTGAGTGTCTCAGGGAACATTCGTTCCATATCCTTGAGAGCGGTGTAGATCTTTTTGCGACCAATAGCCACGGACATGGTTTTGAAACAGCCGTTCATGGCAAACATAAAATAGAGAATCCACTGAGTTGCATGCACCGCATCGACGAATTCGCCAAACACAAAGAACAGGCCCTTGGCAAAGAAACAGAACGTGAAATTGACACCCAGCAACACAAAGATGCACTTCTCCGTGATTGTCATGGAGTCATCAGCATTCCATTCGAACATCTTTATACCGACAGCACTATAAAATTTCAACGGCAAACGTATGAAATCGAACAGAGTTAGAGAATTATCCGATGCCAGTACCATTGCGATTGAATGAGAATAACACTATGAGGGTCTAGTTCACTTGCCATGGCCGTGCTATAGTTCAATTCCAAAGGAGTATTTTTAATTATGGGTATGCAAATGTAATTGACTTATAGATAATTACAAAGAAAATTGCCAATTAACGATATGCTCTTTGCAGGAATGTTGGCAAATATTGCATAATTAAGTTGCACGTTCAAAGTATTCGGAAATTTTGCACATGGACCACTAATTAAAAGGTACACACATAGACGGTTTTAATCTGAACTCTTTAGGCTCTCCAATAAAACCAATTAAAGCAGGTACAGTAAAATCTCGATAATCCGAACTGTGATTCCCAAATCATTGCATATTCTATAATACGGAGTGTCTGTTACTTTCTCATCCATATTTTTATATAAGAAATTTCAGACAAAAATGTTGGGGTTATTCTGCTATTTTACCCGAATTTCGCCGAAAAATTTACATATATAAAAATAATCACTTTTTGTGTATAAGTATACGCCTTGCGGATTATATCAAGAACCTTCCGATAAATCTTGGGGTTCTATAAATAGGAATACATCTTAAAATTATCCAGGACGTACTGAAGTTTATCTTCCAATCCATATATTTTGCGAAATTTCATTTGACGGCTAAGATGTACTACATGTTGCATTGAAGTACCCAAAAACTCATAAAACGCGAATAATTTCCGAAAACTACATATGTCATTAACGCGCATCCGATTCCGGTGTGCACTCTAAAAAAATACATCGATCTATACCGATTTCAACCCGGTCCTTTAAGAACCATGGATGACCCAGCACAATTTATTTTTGACATAAATTGGCTTCATCTCTCTTTCGACTGAAGATTTTAATGCTCTCTTTTCGCAAAAGTACAAAATCCGTAACAGGTCATTTATTGAAACGAAAATTATCCACAGAAAACGCAAATAAATCCGCGATATTTTCAAATTTTTTTTTTTTGCCAAATTTCGTGTTTTTGGAAGGCCAGTTCCCGCCGTTCTAGTAGATGGATTTTCACGAAGAAGATTGTATATCATCCGAAATGTTAAAAACCTTACTGATCGCGGGTACCCATATCATTCAGTTGACAGATCTAAAAATTTGGCCCGAAAAATAGGTTTTTAGAAATTTGAAATTTGGCACAAAATTCTCACCTTCGGGTGAGTATTTCTCCTGTGTGCGTATTAAAGTAAGAAGTAAAATTTAAAAAAAAAACACTCAAAATCGAGCTTCAAAATGTCAGCATCATTTAAAGGTAGGTAGAGTTAAAATTTTGAAAAATGATGCATAAGGGGCTTAGTCCCCATTTTCTTGGCTTCTAGTTTTACTTTGACACGAAGACCGTGAAATGAGTGGCTTAATCTCAAATCGATAGAGAACATTAGAAAACTGGTTCGCCTCAATCCGTTTTTACACATTTTTTTACATTAAAGTAGACACAGCTTCCACCAAAATAAAGTTTGGAGGTCAATATCATTTCAATATCGAAGAAACATTTACGCACAACAAATTCAGCGACAGAAAGCTAAATATTGTTGTAGTAAATCTCGATATTTAATAAAAACCCTCCTCAAAAATTATTGGATGCATCGTTTGTTCCACAAGTAGTAAAAAGAAAATAACTTATCGGGAATAAGCGATCTTACTTGCAGACAATGCATCATCTCATGAAGCACTTGTTTCAGAATGTGGGAATTATAAACCCGTTTTATATCCTCACCCTAATGAGGGTATATTCACGTGAAATATTGATTTCAGACCCCATGGTTCTTTGAACCAAATCAGTATAATACAAATGTACGTCAAATCTAAAGCTGGAAGCCGAAATTACCCCTACATGGTTTAGTTTCAAATGCTAATGATTGCAAAATCATGTCTTCGGGAGTAGACATTGATGAAATTAGTGCCAGACTAAACACCTACCTGTCAGCCACATCAACTTTCATGCAGGAAAGAATGTTGACTATATCGCCGTCAAAATCCACGGCTACCTTATTCACCTCATGGATGAGTGAACTAAGGCTAGAAATTGACATAAAAGTCGATGATGGAACAATTCTGACTGCCCAACATCCCAAGCTCCTGAGTTTTATTTTCGACAAACTTCTAAATTTCACCAAACAAGCAGCGTACATTAAAAAGAAATCCAGACAAAAAATAAGGCCCTAAAAGCGCTGACAGGAACGTATTGGGGAAAAGACAAGGAAACCATAGTAGCGACATATAAGGCCATAAGTCTCTCAGTCCCAGTTTCCAAGTTGCAGAGAATAGTGCCCTCAAATTGCTACCCGCTGTGTTTTGATGCCGAGCGTGGATAATTTACATGACGAGACGAGGATACTGTCGGTACGGCAACATAAGGTGTTGCTTGCTAGCCACTTCCTCCTGGCTTGCCATCGGCCTAGTCACAACAACCATCACATAGTAATGGAGGAAGGACCTCATGCACTTCCGCCCGGACATCCAAGACGTAATACCAACTGACGTTAACAGATTATCAATAGCGGCAGGTCTGAAGCAGCTGAATACCCGAACGGTCCAAGAAGCCGCCAAATAATCCCACAGACGTACGCCCTGTGGATCTTTGGACATGCTCCAATTTCTGCAATTACCAACAGATTATCCTCAAATAGCAAAAAAAAAAAAAAAAAAATAAAAATAAATAAATAATAATAATATTTTACTTTTAATTTAAAAAAAAAACGTCAGATGTGTTTTTAGCACGTTTTACTTTATCGAAAGTTAAATTTGGGCACACAACATTCTATTATCTTATTAATAAGCTAACCTAATTGGGCAGCATTCTCGTTTACACGTTCTGCATTTTCAGCGTTTCCCACGATGTGGACAACACCTGACAATGCAATACGATCCGCCTTGTTGGTAAGAGTTCGTTTGAGTTGGGTGGTTCTCATGGATTTGCATTGTGGACACAATTGCTATGATAGCTGTTAATGTGTTTGTTGTTAACTTATATAATATAATTTACCATACACCATACCACATTCATCCAACCACACACCCCCAATTAATATAACACACTATCCCAATTCCAAAGCAATAATCCACCAATCAACCTCACCAGCACCTACATCCATCCTAATCACACAACCCTCCCACACAGACACACATTAAACCCAATTAAAACTAATCAATGTTTTAACATCCTTTCAACAGGGAAAAACAATTGTCCGCATACAACTTTTGACAACAACAACCAGTTAAGTAATTCAGCATATTTTACGAGCGCCTAGAAACAGCATATGAATGGCTGCCCTGGCCATGACATTACAATTCTGCTATTAGATTTTACTGCAAAAATCGGAAGGGAACGTATTTTTGGCCCTACCGTCGGAAAATTCAGCCTTCATGAAGAAACATCCGTCAACGGTATGAGGTTGATTGACTTCACGGCAGCAAAAAACATGATAGTTAGCAGCCCCAGATTCAAACTTCTCGATATACACAGGAAAACCTGGAATTCTCCAGATCTGACAAGGAGAAATTAAATTGATCATGTTGTGATAGACGGAAGGCATTCATCCAGTGTTTTAGACGTTCGATCGATCTGAGGAGCGAATATCGATTCGGACTTGTAGGCGCCAATGTGTGATGTACAAAACGCAGCGTATAGGGCAACCCTGGTGACAGTAGCAAACCCGTAATGCAATGGAGAATTATCAGGAGAAAAGGAGAGAGGTGAAACGTATGTTCAGAAAAAAGAAGAAATATCAAGAAAAATCGAGATGCGTGAACAAATCGAGATGCACAGAAGTTAGAATGAGGTCCGAAAATTTTACCAACGAGTAAAACACCAAACCGAAGGCTTTGGTGCAGGCACATCCTCCTGTAGAGAAGAAGATGGATACCTGGTGATAGATACAGACAGCGTGTTGAAGATCTGGAAGGAGCATTTTGAAAAGTTTCTGGTATCGAAAAGTTGCGGTGAGGAAGATACCACAGAACCAATATGAGATGACGGTGTAGAGTGTATACCACCTAGCCAAGATGGGATCGGAGTAGCAATCAATCGGCTGAAGAATAATAAAGCAGCAAGTGCCGATGGCCGCACTATTCAAGACTGGTAATCAGATGCTGGTTAGGATCTTGTATCCCGTTCACTAAATAGGAGACAAGACAATATGTGTGGAGGAATAAGTCTCCTTCCCAATGCATATAAAGTGCTATACAGCGCGCTGTGTGAACGACTGAAGCCAATGGTCAATGACATTATTGGACCATACCAATACCGTTTCAGACCTGGCAAATCCACCATTGACCAGATTTTTATACTGCGCCAAATCCTGGAAAAGACCCACGAAAAACACCTGGACACATTTCACCTATTCGTCGACTATAAATCTACATTCGACATGCCTGCGTTCGCCATTTCTGCAAAATTAATACATCTATGCAGGATAACTTTAACTGGCACAATGTAAGCAGTTAAAGTCGGAAAGTATCTCTCGGAGTTCATCAATACCGAACGAGGATTCAGATAAGGTGACAGTTTGTCGTGTGACCTGTTTAACATCCTGCTGGAAAAGGTCATACGAGATGCAAATGTGAACAGAAATGACACTCTGTACACCAAACAGCATATGTTACTCGCCTACGCCGATGACATCGACATAATGGGTCGAACATTGCGAGGGATAACAGCTGCCTTTGAACAAATTGAGAAGGAGTCTGCCAGTAAATGACAAGAAGACCAAGCTGATGGTATCAACGCGCAAGACGTCTAGTAGACTCGGAACGTTAGAACTACAGCTTCGAGGTAGTCAAAGATTTTATATACCTTGGTACCGCCATAAATAGAACGAATGACATCAGTTTTGTAATTCGGAGAAAGATTATGATGGTCAACAGATGCTACTATGGTCTAAGTAAGCAGTTTATAAACAAGGCCACCTCCCCCCAAATCAAACTCACACTCTACAAGACGCTGATTTTACCAGTCATGTTGTGTGAATCAGAAGCATGGGTACT